TCTTAGAACCAGAAAGGAAAACCCAATGGCCATTTTTAATGCTAGGTGTGGCCGTTGATCTGTAGAAGATTTTATAATTTCTGAGATTAAGGGAAGGAACAAGTGCACACCAGCTGCCAAATGTTCCTTGAAAGAGACAACACTTGCTTTGGCATGACAGAGGAAGAAAGAAAATGAAAGAAGAAACAAGAGCGCAAGAAATTGTCTCCAGCCCAAGTCCTTTCACCCTTTGGTTGTGATGAGGCCTCTATGCTGTGAGGTAAGTTCAGTTGAGACTTATATTGTTTGAAGTTTTGGAATAATGGAGGGAGGGGAATGGTCTTCCACTAAGTGATGGTCCATTCTGCCTAGATAAGTAAGGGTAAACCCTGGGTTAGAGGCCATATCATAGATATTGTGATCTCAAATTGCAAATGGAGACATGGGTACTCTATCTTTCTTATCTTCATTTTTAAGTGCTTTGGTTTTATTGTATTGCGAACAGTTGCTGGGGTGCATCCACAGTTTCGTTGTACAATGACAATAAAGTTCTTCTAATTCTAATTCTAGGAACAGTAAAATCTCTGGTCTGAGGTATTCCCAAGGGCACAATGTTCCAATTCATTCTATCGTGCCTTCTTTCACTGGTGGGATAAACCACATAAAGTCCCTTTGTAAAATGACTTGATATTCTAGTCTCTGAACATCTGTTGGTCATTTGGTGACAGTGATTTTTTTTTTCCTTCTTCAAAGGCATGAATCCAAATTGACCTGTAGACGAAGAAGAAGACATCAACAGTAAGACAGGTGGTTTAATTCACTCTCTGGTGTATCATGAAAGTGAGGAAGCCTGGCAGGTACTGTTTATTACGTTTATTACTGCAAAAATATTTGGGCCTTGCTAAAGTTTACTCTTAAGGCTTGCTTTAGCAAAAAAATTTTTTAAAAAAAACTACAACATATCGATAGTAAAAAGAACAGTCATAAGTGTGACAAACCTAGATAAAAAGTATCGAAACATTTCTGACCTAGCATAATTTGGCTATTGGCTGTGGTTCTTAGAACCAGAGCGCATTCCACATTCCAACACAGGCTGGAGATGGGGGTGATGCCCCTGCTTAGAGGTTTTCCAGTCCCTGAGCTTCCACTCTGATGGTCACACTGAATGAGCCCGGGAGTCCATCCGCTGCCTGTCTCATTGAGTCCCTGAGCAGACAGGGTGGGAGACTCACACTGGAAGTCCTCTCTGGGGTCATCCTTGGGGGACCCTTTCAGTCCCTGAGAGAGCACTGAGGGCGAATCACACTGGAAGAGGCAACTGCACCCAGCTAGAAGCCTCCTCCAGTGCCTGAGGACCCCCTCAGTGTGGTTCAGGCTGCAAGGGAAACCTTTGGGATCACCTCCCTCCCACCATCACACCCTAAGAAATAATGCCAGTACCAGCCAGGCTCACCGTTGAAATGAAGCGTCCTTGATGCTTTCTGAGCTCGGCGGCTTTCTTGTAGAGGTTTCATTATGAAATTAGGGAACATCATCAGTGCTGATAGGGAGTGCAGTTTTTTCTCAGTTTGTGCACTAGTCTAGTGGCTTCTTTCGGTGTTGGTAGAAATGGTCTTGGAGGTCCTTCGTTGGGTTTTTGTTGTTAGCTTCTTTGGCAGTTGCTTGACTGGACAGGATGACTGGATGAACGGCCATTTTTAATGCTAAGTGTGGTTATTGATCTATAAAAGATCTTGGTTGTCTAGCTTTGCAGACTGAGGAGAGGAACAAGTGTTCTGGGTGCTACCTAGTGTTGTGATTGATGATATATATTGTAGATTTTTGCCTGGCATAATTTAGCTCTGGCAATGGTTCATAGAACTGAGAAGGAAACCTCAATGGCCGTTTTTAATGTTAGGCATGACTGTTGATAGATTTTAGGTTTTATAGACTTCTGCCTGGCATAATGTAGCCCTGGCGATGGTTCTTAGAACCAGAAAGGAAAACCCAATGGCCCTTTTTAGTGT